CTTAAATTCCTATGAGACACCAGTAGCTGCATTCTTGGACACACAAAGCAAGTCACCAAGAGGAATTTGTTTCATGTTAACATTACCAAGAAAAGACCACAAGCTACAAAGTTCACACAAATGAAGACTGGTTCCCATAGAAGAGATGCTTGTATTAAAATAACTGCCAACTTGTTCTAAGAATGAAATTCTCATTTTCATGTTGTGTTTTTCAGATAACAACCTTCTCCTTCAATTGCATTATTTAATGCATACCTAGAAGACGTTCTTTTTCTTTCTGAAAGAGAAAAAAACACACCATAAAATTAGTTTTGTTGTAGTTATTGAGGGGGAAAGTACTCTATATATGAAATAATAGCATAAGCCTAGTAGATTTACTATGTGTTGCAACACAGTAAAGCTTAGTTGTCTTTCATGTATAAACATATGTAGTCCTCACAAACAGTAATTGCCATTATTATCCAGAGATTTTATTTTTTAATGGAGTTATATTTATCAATCTTTTTGTCTATGCTTTCTTTGGTTTAAGAATTTTTTTTAACTCCTCCAAATAATAAAAATCTCTGGTAGTATGTTTTTCCTGCCAGGTTTACATATTCAATTTTCAAACTAAGGTTTATAATTTATTTGGAACTTTGGATTGGTATGTGAGGTCATGGTCTAATGTATGTTTTTCCAATGAATAACCAATTTTTCTAGTATTGCTTGTTCCCAAGACCACCATCCTTTCCAGAGTGGTTGTGTCATACCTATCATCTGTCATGTTTGGTTATCATGTGGATTATCTTCTGGGCTCTGTTCTGTCTATTCTCGTCCTAACACCCACAATCTTAATTATGAGAGTTTTATAGTAACTTCATATTTAGTAAGACAATTCCAACACCCAACTTCTCTTTTTTTTTTAATTAATCTATACCCTTTCATAGCAATTTTAGGTTCATCTGGTTAAGTTCCATGAAAACTATTGAGAATTTTTTGTAGGTAACTGGAGGAATCGATATCTTCTTAATAACAAGTCACAACATCATTGAACATGGCATATTCCTCCATTTCTTTAGCCTTTCTTTAGTAATTCATTTAGAAATGATTTTTATAAAGGTCTAGTACATTATTTCATACGTATTCCTAAATGCATTGATTTTTATGCTTATGTGATGGTATGTGTTTAAATTTTATTTTATTTTTCCAGTTGTTGAATTTTGTTCATTAATAATTTTTCCAGAAATCTTGCTGAACTTTATTAGTCCTAATAAATCATCTTGGGTTTTCTATGGACATAGTCATATTGCCTGTGAATGAAAAATGATAGGTTTGTCTTCTTAAATTACCTTATGTTTTCTTTTTTCCTTTGACAGAAGGAATCTTTGTTTTGTTCTTGATTTTAAAGAAAAAAGTTTTAACATCATATCCTTTAAAATGTTTGTAGTAGGTTTTCAATAGATATAATATCTTTCTATTCCTATTTTGCTCAGAGCTTGCTCAAAAAAGCTTTAATCATAAGTAGTTACTGAGTTTGATCACTTGCTGTTGAGAAAATTCAATGGCTTTTCTTTAATAGTTTTAATGTCCAACTATCCTTACTTTTTTATGTTAATTCAAAATTTAATACATTTATTAATTTTCTAATCTTTGGTTTACTTATGCATTTGTAATAAGTAAGGTTGGTTTGTAATATTTCTTTCTGAGTTAGAGAATATTCCTTTATTTTCTATCCTTCAGTAAAGTTGGCACCAGCATGGTATTTAGCTGTTCTTTGAATGTTCAGCCAAATTCATCTGGGCCTGGGTTGGAGGGAGGGGTGAGGGTAAGTTTTTAATGGTTGTTTCCTTTTTTGTAATTGATTAGAGTTCTATTCTTGTTTCTATTACTTCCTTTATTTTAATCATTTTGTTGTAGATGAACACAATACCTTTATTTTACTTATTTATTTTTATGTGGTGCTGAGGATCGAACCCAGTGCCTCACAGATACTAGGCAAGCACTCTACCACTGAGCCACATCCCCTACCCTCTATTACTTCTTGAGATAGTTTTGATAAGTCACATTTTGCTGTGACATTGATCATTTCTGCTTTTTTCAAATATATTGCCATATTATCTGTATGGCACCGTAGCTATGACCCCTTTTTCATATGTTATATGATTTGAGATTACTGACGCTTCTTTCAGAACGTTTGGCTACACATTTGTCTATCTTATTCATTTCTTCAAAGAATAAATTCCAGTGGACACTGTTTGTGCTGCATTCAGCTTCTCTGGGGCCCTTGTTCTCTTCTTGCAAATTCAGGGTAGTTTTGCTTCCAATCAACAGCATGTAAAACTCAGCTTCAGAGGACTGACCTCAGGCTACTGGAGCCACTTTGCCCACCTATGCAGATAACTTACATCTGTGGGAATATGGAAGTCCCTGAGTGGAATGTGTCTCATGTGTACCTCTTATTTCAGAAATCCACTGTAGAATAAGGATCAAACTGTTATCTGTGGGACCTGGTCTGGAAGGGCACCCTTGCTGTACTTCTTTTGCCCTGACCACCTTTGACTATCCCCTTCCATGCTTCTCCAGGGAACATTTTCTTGTTGAGTACTTACTCATTTTCATCTCAGAGTCTCACTCTGAGAAACCCAACAAAATAGCAGGTTTATTTCTTATTTTTATTCTCTATATTGTGTTTTGTTTTCTATTACTGTTTTATTAATGCATCTCTTTATTCTTTTTCCCACTATTTCCCACTATTGGGGGATATTTTCTAGAATGAGATAGTTAGCTTCTTACTTTTCTGTCTCTTTTTCCTAATATAATCATTTTTAACAGCATAATTATTTTAAAATACAAGCTGTGACATGTTAAATTTTCATTATTTTAAATGTAAATATTTCCTCATTTTCACAACATTTTTTCTTTAATTTTCTTTAGTGCTGGTCACTAACATGTCCAGTGTTTTTTAGTCATGTCTCTATCATCTTAAAGTCAGCCATGGGAATGGATGTGTTTGAGCCAATAGAACATGAGTGGGATATGATATATAGGACAGAAAACGTAAGAGCCACATGCCATCTCTTCACCACTGCAACTTTTTAATATGCAAGAAGGCCTTATCCAACCAGTGTGGGGCCCAACAGGAAGAAAACATGGGATGGATTTCCAAATGACTTAGACTGGAATTATACTATGAATGGGAAATAAACCTTCATTGCTTTAAGATGGCCAAGATATTTCAGGCCTATATGTAATTGCAGTATAACTTATCCTGACAGTTGTACTGACCAAATAATGTTTAGAAGTATCTTTCCTTTTTAATCTTTAAGTGTAGAGAGTAATTTCAAGCATTTTTTCAAGTTCACATTTATTGGAGTGTAGTCAGGGAAAATATCCTATATGTTACTGAGTGTTTGGTATCTGATGAGATTTTCTTTGTATTATGACAAGCAATCAGGTTTTTTTTTTTATTCCATATGTGTAAACTAGATTAAGCTATTTAACTGATTAATTCAAACTTTCATATCCTTATTACCTTTTTAAATTTGTTCTAATTAGTTATACATAACAGTAGAATGCATTTTGACACATCATACATTAATGGACATGTAGATCAATGGTACAGAATAGAAGACACAGAGACAAACCCACATAAATACAGTTATCTCATATTAGACAAAGATAGTAAAAACATACATTGAAGAAAAGATAGCCTCTTCAACAAATGGTGCTGGGAAAACTGGAAATCCATATGTAGCAAAATGAAATTAAACCCCTAACTCTCACCCTGCATAAAAATCAACTCAAAGTGGATCAAAGACTTAGGCACTAAAACAGAGACCTGCACCTAATAGAAGAAAATGTAGGCCCAAACCTCCACCATGTTGGCTTAGGAACTGACTTCCTTAACAAGACTGCTTATTAACTTTTTATGTTTTAATCTATATTTGCAAAGAGAGTTTTTTTTAAAACCCATTATGTATAGATTTTTAAATATCTCTTTATAGTCCAATTGATTCCCGTTTTAAGTATATTTGAAGTCATAATATTAAGTACATGCTAGTGGCAAATTGCTTATAGTAAATGGCCTTCATTATCCCTAAGAATGCATTTTTATCTTAAACTCTATTGGTCAGAGAGGTTACTTCTGTAAGGTGCTCCAAAGTTATCACTCCCTGGGCTATCACTGGCCTAAAGTAAATTTTTAATATTAATTTCTTAGCTCGGGAGTTGTAGCAGCTAGTGGTTCCAGGGCCATGCACATGATTTAAAATCAAGTTCCAAAAATATGTAAGATATAACTAACTTCCTTTTCATTTCATTTTCATGGATGGTAGATTTTCTTTCTAGTCACCTTTTAGTGGAGGCCTAACCTTCTGACAGTTTCAGCTCATGAAGGGATCTCAGTTTCAACTCTTCCCCTCAGGGCGGTCCACAGCCTCACCTCCCACCCCTACTCCTAGCCAGGGCATAAGCTCAGCTCACTTTCTTTCTCCTTTGGTTTTCAAGGCCTCCTCCATCTCCTTCTTCTCTTTCTCCTTTTCCTTCTCCTCCTTTTCTCTGCTCCTGAGGATTGTATTAGTACTTTTTAAAAGGAGTTTCACAGTAAGAGGATTTTATATTATCTGGTACCAGCATCCCTGGAAGTTGTCTTAATTATCTTTTTATAACTGCATGTCACTAATGCTTTTGTCTTTCTGAGCAAAAAGATCACAGGGTGAAAGCAGGATTTTGATAGGAAGTAGGAAGCAGATAAGGGCACTATGTTCTTGTTCTTGGGAAGATATTCTTTAGTCTGCCTACTCTAATTAAGATGATAATCACCATTACACACACACACACACACACACACACACTTAGTTTTATTTTGTCCTTATTTCTCTATTTATCTTCTTCAGGGAGAGAAAACTCAGGGAGCTTAGAAGGTTAATCATAAATGATATGATAATAATAACAGCATTGTGATAAGAGCTGACATTTATTAACATTTAAATAAGCCAGGGCCTAAGCAAAGATCTTTGCACATATTCTTTCATTGAAGCCTAAAGACCCTGTGAGGTTCTGGATCTGACAAATGCTAAGCAACTTACTCAGGTTCATACACCTAGGAAGTGGCAGAGATCCAACCTCTGTCAACTGAAGCCAGAGCCTGCACTGGCCTGTACTCTCTCTTGAATATTCCAGTTTAAATATTTAGGTTCTCATTCTTTACTTACCACCCCAATGTCTCCATCCCCACACATAATATCCACTTAGTTGTTTAGTCTCTTCTCGTGTTACACAGCAGAGGGATATTATGTAAATACAAATTTCTGGAGACTAACTCCTGATTCTGCTGCAGAGCCCAGCTCAGAGGACACCTCCCCCAGGAGGCTTTCCCAGATGCCTGCAGGCTGGTTAGGTGTTGCTTCTCGTGGCTCCTAGAAGTGCACTATGCCACAATTACTTAATTCTATGAATCTCTCCTTGTCTTTGAGCTATATCTGAGGGTGGATTCAGTCTGTCTCTTGTTCTTCTCTGTTGTTTCAGTCAGCTTTGTGCTGCCATGACCAAAAGACCTGACAAAAACAATGAAGAGGAGGAAGTGTTTATTTTGGCTTACAGTTTCAGAGGTCTCAGTTCTTAGATGGCCAGCTCCGTTGCTCTTCCACCATAGAGTGTCATGGTGGAAGGGCATGGAGGAGGAAAGCAGTTCAGAACCTGGCTAACAGGAAAGGGGTGGTGGGGTGTGCATGCTCTGCTCACTAGGGCAAAATAAAAAAACTCAAACACACCCCCCCTGCCCATGATCCACCTCCTGCATCCACTCCCCACCCACTTACATTTACCACCCAGTTAATCTTCATTACTGGATTAATACACAGATTAGATTACGCCTCTCATAACTTACTGTTTACCTCTAGACTTTCTTGTATTGTCTTACACTTGAGCTTTTGGTGGACACCTCATATCTAAACCACAGTATCTGAGTCCCAAACATGTATCACAAATCCTGATACATGGGGGGCCTGTGTCACACTTTTTTTTTCTTTTTGGTACCGAGGATTGAACCCAGAGACACTATCACTGAGCCACTTCCCCAGACTTTTTTATTTTTTTATTTTGAGACAGGGCCTCCTGTTGCCCAGGTTGACCTCCAACTTGTAATCCTCCTGCCTCAGCCTCCCAAATTGCTGGGATTACATGTGTCTGCACCCAGCTCACATGGTTAACCTTTGATGAATAAATGAATGCATGAGTGAATAAATTGATAAATATTATCTTTCATGGATAATAGAGAACAACTAAATGTATTTCCAAGAATAGAGTTTCTTTATTAGTCTTAAAACATACTAATTTATTCTACTTGTGATCTGAAAATATGCAACAAATCTCTGTAGAGATTCATATTTTTCTGATAATGTGCCTGTTTCGAAATTGCTAAAGTGTCACAGAACAAGAACAAGTACACCTAGGGCCCTGCATAAAACCAGCTCACATATTCCTAGGCCTGAGGAGATCTATCGCTAGTGAGTCCAGTCTAACTCTGTACCTTCCCTCTAGGCATAAGGAACATTCTGTTTGCCTTGTGCTCAAGCACTGTGCTCTCCCGTTGTGACAGCGGGACAAGATGTTGCTTCCTCTGTGGGTGGCCACTCTTGGAAACCCTGTAAATTTATTGCAAACTGATGCATTTATTCCCAAAGCAGTAATTTGGGTGTCTTTTTATTCCCTCTGTTCCAAAAGGATATTTTCATTGGGAATGTCCATTTTAAAAAAAGTGTGACAAATCTAGGCACAGGTACAAATCCACGCACCAGGGCTAATGCTGGAAGGAAACTTCATTTCTCCTGCATTAAAGGTGATGGACCAGCTTGCTTTCTCAGAAATAGCACAGAGATGTCTCAGTCACCTGGCTCCTATTAAACCGTGCCATGTTCATGAGCCAAAATGTTGCTGGATCTGTTCCCCTCTTGAAAAAAAGAAAAACCACATATACTCAGGAACACAGTTCTTTTTAATTAGCCCCAGATGGGATTTGTTAGTATGCCTCCTCCCATTCCATAATAAATCCTTATAATTAAATAACAGATACTTGTTATTCTTGTGCATGCAGAAGCCAGAAGCAGCTTTTCTCGGCATAGAAAAGTGGGGAATTGGAGAGCTGAGAGGAAAGAGACCAGCCAGGTGGTCGGGTTTTATATTTAGAGGAAGTAGGGAGGCTGTGTGCAAGGTGGACACAGCAATGCCCATCTGGGGAGTCTCCCTGATCCTAGATGTCTACTCTGCTGGTTGATGGGAGATAAGAAGGCCATGTAGGCTTCAGTTATACCCACTTACCTCACTTTGAACCCTGTCTTTCCAACGAAGAAGTTATGTGATACTAAACCAATTATCCAACCTCTCTGAACTTCAGTTTGCTCATCTGTAAAATAAGAAGAATTCTTCCTACATCACAGGATTGTTATGTTGAATTAGAAATCTGTTAAGCCCTAGGTATGGTACCTGGAACATAGTACATAGATATAATAATCACATGTAATAAGACTGATTATTATTGTTATTAACAGAGAACAGTACTAGTGTTATATAATGAGGGAGATGTGTGATGTGAAGTTGTGTTAAGGGACCCACAGACCAAAGCAGTTTTCTTATCCATGATCTTATCATGATGCCTATCCTCTCCCACCCCTCACTATAAAACCATTACCTAAGGGCCACCTGGAAACACGTATTTAACAGAATTTTAAAATAATGGTGCAGAGGCAGGCAGACAAAACAAGGGCTATCTATACATTATGAAAGATTTACTAAGGAGACCAGAACCTATTAGCAGCCATGGTCACATTGGATAAAACCAGCTGCTGAGAGAACTCTGTTATCAAAACTTGAATGAGGGAAGAGGCAATGTATGGCCTGAGGCATAGAGATATACTGCACAGGGTAGCCTGAAGGGTAAGATCACCTATGGCTTAGCACAGGAAGGGTAGAGAGATTTAAATGGGGGATAGAAAAAGGAGGAATAAAGTCCAACTTGGCCAGTTTTTAATTTTTGCATTAGTTAAGAACTAAAGAAAGAAAAGAAATATTTTAGAAATTGGAGCTATTACTAAAATTGCTATTGAATAATCTGGTTGTGTGAAAAATTCATGAGTAATCATGAATCCTTATCCTGCATTTCGCTTAAGGATTAAGTAAGAAAGAAATGCAGGAAATCGTAAACCCCTGTAATCAAGCAGGGTAGTCTTTATGAGCAGCGACTGCCCTACTTCATCTTGGCTCATAGAATTTCTGGCAATGCAGCTTTGAACCTGGCACCAAGTTTATTCTTCAAGTCAGGAGTTAAAGGCTTACTCTGCTGCAGGAGGCAATGCCACAACACAGAGAACCCCATGTCCTGGGCTTGAATAAGTCATTTACCCAACAGTGTGTATTGTCTACAGTCTATTTGAGACAAGGGAATTGCCTCTCATGAATAAAACTGGGCTAGTGGACACAACACCAGAGAGACAACTCCAACTCAGTATTAGGAAAGACATTCTAACACTCAAAGCTGTTCTATGAGAAAATATATAAGTACAAAATCCAAATCACCAAATGTATGTCAAGCAAAGGCAACTTACAGAAACACAAATACTAAAGAGGAAATGTGACTCATTGAGTTTAAAGTTCACTTTCAATTTTTCAGTCCTGTAAAGGAGAACATGTAACCTTCAACTACAATGAACTTAAAGTTTAACCAAGAAAACAAACTGTGGACATAATGACGGATCCAAAGCTACAGAAAATGAGCCAAATCAATGGTCTAAAAACAGTACAGAAATTCCAAAAGGCAGCTGTCCGAAAAATATTTGATAAAAACCTGAAATTTCTCCACACTTAAAGAAGATTCACTCTTTTGCAAAAGCAATTGGATTGGGTTCCTGGAGGTGAGAAGAAAGATTAAATAAAATTTGGAGCCAAAATATGGGGGATGGGGTGTGAAGTTCGGTGGTAGAGAGCTTGCCTTGTATGCATGAGGCCTTAGGTTCAATAACCAGCACTGGAAAAAAAAAAAAGGCAGGGTGGGAGGAGAGAAAGAAGAAGAAAAGAAAAATTGGCACACAGACTCTCATGCAGTCCCCATAATGTTCCTGCTTAAATGTAATACAGAGCATAATGCTTGCCAACAATAAATAACCACGAATAAACAGTTGCTTGGCAATTTCATGAGAAAAACCAGATCTGTTTAATTCTGTTCTCTGTATGTCTGTGCTCTAGAGATCTAGTCTCAATATTTTGATTTGCAATACATTAGAATTCATTTGCAATAACTTAGAATTCAAAGACACGGCTTCCCAATTAATTATTAATTCAAAAGACACAATCTGTGACCTCATGATTTTCTATGGGCTTTGAAATCATTACTCATTCATTCTTCATTTCTGAGAGTGTTAGAGGATCAGATTAGAAAAGGAATTCTTCATCCAACTAACATTATGCATCAGCCTGAAATGGGAAATAGAGATACATTATGTAGGGCCTGCCACTCGGTGTAGTCTAAAGACCAGCTGCAACGGGCATCATCTGGGAGAGCCTCAGCAATGCAGAATCTCAGCTCCTCCATCTCCAACCTCACTCCCAGACCTACTGAATCAGAATCTGCATTTTAACTAGATCCCCAGTGATCCCTGTGCGTATTCAAATTTGAGAAGTTCAAAACTAAACAACAGTGACTCTGTTGCCCACCTTCAAACCTTCACCACCTGAAAGCCTTTAAGAAGCAGCAGCAGTTTCTGGGGGGGGAAAAAAAAAAGAAGAGAAAATTACTCAGATTGTAATCATTCATGGAATCACTGATTAAGGTGTTTGTCTTAATCAGTGTCCTGTTTGTCCTGTTGCTAACGTGGTACAGCCATGTTTAACATGGGCTGGCAGAGCCTTCTGCTGTTGTGACCCAAATCAGCTGATTAGTCTCAGTTAGTTACTAGACTTTGGGGGAATGGAGAGGAGAGCCTTAGACCCAAGTCTGGGCAAGGAAAAGCAGCTGTTTCTCATAAACTGCAATGAACAAGCCTAGGAGGGCTTCAGCATTTGTAACCTGAAAACTCCTGCCTTTCTGTCAACAGAGAGAAATCCCTTCCTGCTGTGGTGATGTTGGAGATACCAAAAGCTGCAGTGGAAGCTCAAGCCTGAATTTAGCCACGAAGGGGAACTTTAGGGGCATCCAGGTTTGAGAAATATACCAAACAAAGTATTTCCTAGAATACTTTCTCAATTCAAAAAGACCATTGATTGCAGGAAATGACATGGATTTCACAACAGCTTTTCAGGAGGGGTGGGCAATGCTTCTTTAAATGCAATGCAGATATATCCCTATTTTGCAAAAAGTTAAATAAAGTGAGGGCAAGGTTTGTGGGAGTATATCTTAAAATCAGGAAAACTTGGTAGATTAATGCTTTGACAATTTCACTGGCCAGTTTGCTAATGTATATTAGCAATTTAGTTTTTACATGGCTTCCTGCAAATGCGTGTTAAAAAAAATGATGTTCACTGTTTTCTGCAGACATTTCTTTGACTACAGGACTGAAACACAACCCTAAGAGCTATATAGAAGAGAAACATCAAGGCTCCAATTTTTCCTAATAAACTTGGGTTGAAAATTGGATAAATGTGAGAATTTGTGAGCCTACAGAATTTTGCCTTTCATGATGTAGGTCCTGAGTCTAGGCATTGAATGTTCCACACTTAATGAAGAAAGCCCAACAAGACCATGGGTTTGTATGTGAAACAGGATGTTGTTCAGAATCAGAGAGAGAAACCAAAACCCAAGTGCTACCAATACTGTTCTCAAAATACACAGTGAATCCATAACATTCTGATTGCCTAACATACAAATTCAGAACATTTCACCCTGTTACACCACCTCCTTGGGACCATTCTGGCGTCCCTGGTATTAAGTCACAATTCCTTTCACTCTAACCCTAGCATAAGAAAAGCACACCAGTTAAGAACTTCAGATAGCACCATTAGGAAACCTAAAGCCAACATTAGATAATGTTCTTCTCCACCCTGCCTGGGTACAAAAATCTTCAAACAACATTGCCATGGGTCAGATTTTATAATGAATTGTTTTTGTTATAGGAAAAGTAGTTTCTTCCTAGAAAGCCCTTATGGATAGTTGAGTTTTCTCCTCCCCCTGCACCCCACCCCCCATGTTAAAATTGATTTAACATAAACATTAAGATTTCCTATGAACTAAATTTACCATAGAGAAAATGATAAAGAGGAATCCTGTGGGTTTATTAGTGGAAAAATCTGCCACAAGGAACTGTGATCATATTTTCTTTTTTTATACGTTTATATAAATTTTAAAAATTCTAAATGGGTATTTATAAAATGCAATTTTTTTAAAAGAAGTAATTCTTCTTTATTTATTTCTTATATACATGACAATAGTGGAATCCATTACATTCATAATTATCCATTCACAGCAGTTTTTCGTAACTCTGTATATAAAGTAGGTTCATGCCAAATTATGCCATGAGCGCTCTTTTTTTTTTTTTTTGCATTACAATTCTCAATACACCTTTATACCACGATTTGTCATATCTCTATTTGTATATAAGATATGTTGACACCAAATTCACATCTTCATACATGTATTTTGTATAATGATGACCATCACCTTCTTTCATTGAGGCCTCAAGCTTTCAAGAATAGACATCTTTGACTTCTCTTTCCCCTGAGTCCTAAAGCTCCCTCTAGTGGCCAAGAATATACACCAAGTACAGGTATGGAGAGCACACATGTTCTAAAGCCTCTTGTTTTTAGGTAACACCTTTGTTTCTACAGCATTTGCACATAGATCTGACTTTTTAATACAAAAACTTTATGAACTATGGTTTCCTCCCATTTCAAAGTTAAATAAACTGAGGCTGAGATGAGGTCGAGTCTTGTACAAGGTCATGTAGTTGGTGACAAGAAACTAGGGCTGGAGACCAGACATCGTGACTCCCACACCCAGGAAGGTGTTCTGCACTGTCTCATGTCCTACAGTAACTATGCAAAGCTGTACATGAATATTCTCATTGATGCTAGTACTCTTTTCACCTTCATAGAAGCACTTTCAAGATGAGAATTATGAAGCCATATTTAGCAAATGTTTCCATACAATATTAAGGAAATTCATGCACCACCTTAAAAGATAGCTACTGACTGCCCCACCCACACCCTGCCACCAGGACACATCAACATTTACTAGATACAATCTTCACACACCAAGAACCCAAAGAAGATGAACTTTGAAGTTCTTTACTCTTTCCCTTAATTACAATGCTTTCCATGCCTATGTAGTTATTCCTTCAGCCCATTATCCAGAGTATTTAAAAGGATTAAACAAATTAGTATATATTTGCTAACATTTAAGAAAAAGCTAGTGGATATTGCCACCAAGGCATTCTAGCATTCCCACAGGCATGCCTAGGATTAGTGGCAAACTGGGATGTTTCTAGGAAAGTAGCAATTTGGAAGCTTTTTTTTCAAATGTAAGAGCACACCACAGTCTAACTGGCTGGCTCAGTGAAATGCCTAAAGAAGCAACATAGTGAATACAGAAGAGGTTTTCTCAGTGAACAAAAGCCAGTACTGTCTCTAAATTCTTACCTCTTTTCATTCTGGCATTTCCAATGGCTTTGGAAAAGCCACAATGAACAGCCATGGCTTACTAATTCACATAAGCCTCTTTCACAACAGTTCCATGAGGATTGGGACCACATCTACATTGTTCAGTCAACATTTCAAACACCCAACACTGCCTCTGGCAGTAGTGTACATTCGAAATGTTTAAAGAATGACTGTGCCAATGGTCTTTATTGAGCCAGCCCTTCTGGGAACCTGCTCATCCCTGCCCCCAAATAATCAGTGGCCTCTGGTTACCTGGGACATTTTCCTCCAGTCCTCCACAGACAACCTCAGGATCTGGATACTTGGCCAACCTGATGAAAAGCCCTGTTCTCTATTCTGAGACCCATTCCTAAGTCTCGGTTAGGTGCCAAACACACATAAGCAATCATAAAAGCTTCCTGCCTTAAACCTCCCAGGAAGTGTATCATAGTGCAAAAGGGCTATTTTTAAGTGTGTAAAAATGCCAGACTCTGATGACTAAAAGAACATTTCAGCATTGAGACAGAATGCTGAGGGTTCCCCAGAGCTAGGAGAGCCATTTTGAATTACCTAACACCCATTTTACTCAGTTTGCCTTTCTGTGTCTGAGCTTTGATCAGATCACTTCTCTCAGGCTTCTGACAGACACTGCCCACCTAGTGAAATGTCACCTCAGAAATGTCTTCTCCAGCTCCCACCTGTTTCTATAGCAGAGCTCACACCTTTATGACTGTGCTGACATGATTGTGATTATTTATGTCTTTCCCTCCTACTTCCGCATATTGCAGTAAGTCCAATAAGAGAAGTCGAAGATGCTGAATTAAAAAATGAACTATAGTGGCACATGCTACTCAGGAGGCTGAGGCAGGAGGACCACCTGAGCCCAAGAGTTCAAGACCAGCCTGGACAGCATAGTAAGACTTCATCTCAAAAAGAGGAAAGGAAAGGGGAGGGGAGGGGAGGAAAAAGGAAAGTATCAACCATGAGGTTTAAGCCATGATGCCATTATAAGATGAACACTATCTTAGGTT